AACCAACTCCAACGTCTAATTGAGGAAGCCCCTTAAGCATCGACTTCTTCACCATCACACTTAGCTTGGAATAGCTAACGTGACCTAATCGTATGTGCCATAGATCTGATGTCTCATTTTTCCTTGTCATGTCTACATATGCGGACTCTACTGACATCACGTAAATTGACTCCAAACGTCATCCCTCCTTGTTGGTGTTTATGATTTTTACATAACGATAAACCTTCACATCTTGGGGACCAAATAAGACATAATGGCCCGATGATGTTAGTTGAGCCATAGATAGAAAATTTTTCTTAATTCCTGAGACATGATAAACATCTTGAAGTTGCACCTGGTTAGAATTATATCGAGGCGTAACTACCGTCTTACCGATGTGAGTTATCGATAACCTTGAATTGTCAACTATCACCACCACACGACCTCCATTGTACTCAGACATGTTTTGCAACTTCTGTTTGTCACCCGTCATATGATTTGAGCAGCCCGAATCTACGATCCAATCATTCTTGTAGTCAGTCCGTTCTGGTGTTGTTACCGTGAGAGCTAATTCTTCTTCCTCTGTAGCAAATAACGCTTCAGCATCCCAACCATCTTCACTATTCTCCTTCGAACTGGAAGTAGCAGTATTACTTTCAACAGGATTTTTCTTGGTCCAACAGTCTTTTTCCATGTGGCCCATCTCCTCGCAGTTGTAACACTTTCCATCGAACTTTCTATTATTATCGCGATTCTTGGAAGCTCCCCCTAAATGAAGGCCTCCCTTTCCTTGGTAATTTTTCACCTTGTCACCATTCTTTTTAGATCCACTGCCAGTATACCGCTGAAAATTGCCTCTGCTTTTGCTAGTGTAGAGCGCTTCCTCTTCACCCTTCAACGAGACTCCTCCCATTTGCTTAGCCATGGCTTCTTGACCTGCAAGCAAATTTTCGAACTCAACAAGCGATGGTTGTGTCGACCATCCCTGTACAGCGGCAACAAACCCTCGATATTCGGGTCTCAAACCATGGACAATTATTTTTTTATCCTGACTTCCCCAATAGCAGCTGTTGAATCTAATTCTGAAATTTCACGGCATATCGACTTCACCTTGTGAAAGTATTGGGCAACCGCCATGTCGCGTTGCGCCATTGATAGAAGTCCATTCTCAAGAAGTTGCAATTTTGTATCATTCCTCTTCGAAAAGAGTGTAACAAAAGTGTCTCATGCTTCCTTTGGTGTTTTAGCATCCCGGATGTGCTCCAATATTTCTTCTTCAATTGTGGTCTTTAAAGCAAACATTGCTTTGCCTGCTTTAATTTTCCACTTTCGCAAGACGCCATTGTCATCTTTTGCCATCGGTTGTGTAACTTCACCATCACCGACAACCTCCCAAAGGTCTTGACCTTGTAAGTATGACTCCATACACGTTGCCCATGTGTTGTAGTTTTTATTGTTGAGCTTCTTGATTCCTTCAACTACTTGAAGATCACCCATCTTAACGGCAAGGCTTTGACTATACCGAACAAGCTTGAGTAACAAACGTGCAGAGTACTAAATTACTCTAAACACAAAGAAGCTCCACAAGGTTTGTAATAACCCCGACAATAATCTCAAGAAATCTTTTCTGATGTGGAAGATCAGTTAAAAACTGCAGCCACAGAGCATACTTGGAATTTCAAGAGACCTTAAAAACGTGGCTCGGATACCAATTGTACAATCAAAATAGAGTAAAAAACTCTAATTGATCGAGAAGAAGAAAAACTCTCTTTAGAATAATCTCACAAAATTGCAAAAGGGAATAACTCTTAAGAAAGCTTTCAAATGCTTATAATTAAGCTTTGATTGTTGGATGATAAAACTCAAATACAAGTAGGGTATTTATAGGTTTCAAGAAACAATCTAAACCACTCATTAAAATAATCACAAAATAATCTAAACCATTGAAATTAAAACATGAGAAAAATATTTAATTTTCACCTAACTAAATTGATGTAAGCAATGACATCAATACTAAATTGATGTAAGCAATGACATCAAATTAATTTAGGTGTGAACTTATTTAGGCTAATATTGAATTTTCAACACATATATATATAATATAAGATACATATTGGTCCTTTCTCATGTAAATGACAGGGAAATAGTGAATCCAAGTTCCATGGAGCTTAGCTTGAGTCTTAAGCCAACATATGTGCCTAAATCCTCGAGCAGCTTGCTTTTAGAGCTATCGAGAATTGATAACGAGTACTATAAGTTATCAATTTTGAGTGATTATATTTGCAAGAGTGAAAAAGAGTTAACCAATGTTGAGGCTTTAAAACATGAACTTCCTCAGTGCAAGCTACTTCTAATGGAAGGTAAGTTCATGCTTTAATACGTGAATTCAAAGTTTTTTTTCTTTTCATTTTCTCTTTAGTTCCTTACTATTTCTATCTTTTGAAATGTATAGCAATTGGAAATTAAAGGAGGAATTCCTAAACATAAAGAGGAATTTGCAAAAGAAGAGGGAAATCCAGGAAATTACATGCAGTACTATAGAAGAAGGTTATGCAAAGAAGCAGAAAACATTAATCCTAGATAATTTCCAGGTAAAACATAAAGATATAATCTTTAATATCTATATATATATATATATATATGCATGTATTGTATGAATTATTTGTTGAGTAAATCTTACATGGAAGAAATCCATCAGCAATGCAAAGAAAATAGGAACATGGAAGGGTTATTGTTGGCATAAAAAGAGAGTACTTGGATTAATTCTCTTGGCTCATCAGGCAGTGGAAAGAAAAATGAGATTGCAGCCATTGATGAATCATGCAGAAATTATAACCAAATTAAGGTTTATTGTATCTGATCAACAAAGATGATGAAGCTCTTGACTCAATCCATTTTGAAGAACAATAGGAGATGTTGGTCTTCAGAGCTCCATTCCAGATTTGTGGAGGCTCTGAACAGGGTTGGAGGCTCCATTCCAGATCAGTAAACATCACATATATAATTGATTTATAGAGTTAGGGTTTGTATAATTTTAATTAGTTTGTGCATGGGAATTTGATCATAATGCATGAGTTTCATTATTTTTTTCCCTTTGGCTAATTGATTTGAATATTTTCATTTGGCAAATATAATAACTTTATTTGTTTTCCTTTTTCATGTTGGACATGCAGTGGCTACCCCTAAGCAAATTAGACACTTGATGAAGGTTGATGGGTTAACAATTGATCAAGTAAAAAGTCATTTGCAGGTTAAATTCTATCTTTTAAAGCTTAATTAATAATGCGTGCATGTTATATATATAAAACACTTAATTATATACTTGCAGACTTTTGAGATATTAATTTTGCAAAGAATATTGTGTTCTAATCCCTGCTTTGGAGCATATGATCGATAATCTTTCTAAATATATAATTTCAGAAATATAGACTTCATTGTGGTAAGGTTCGGTTGCAGTGCTGATCTATCAGCATCAGCATATTATGGAGCTTTCTTCAACCCACAAGTAATGCTTCTCGAATAGGAAGGCCGTTCTTCTTATCTCTTCGCTCGGAAAACTAGATGAACTGTAGAGCTACCTACCTAGCCATATATACAGTGTATTTTACATATCAATATATAGTTGTATATTTGTTATTTTTGTCTAATAAATTCATTTATATATGTTTTTGAGGTAAAACGCAGTTCCATTACAATACAGTAATAAGAACACATAAAGACAAGTTCATGAAGGAAAACTAAAATCCAAAGTTAAGCCCTTCCATCTTTCAAATTTGAACTCTAAAAATTATTCTTTCTATTTGTGATTAAATAAATATATTTAATGCATGAAAAATATTGATAGCGGTAAAAAGATTTTATAAAAAATCTAAAATTCATAATGAAGCATTTCCATCTCAATTTTCAATGTAGTCAACTACTTAATTTAATCTATATAATTGCCAAGGATTCGAGACTCATGTATACAGAATTTCCAAGAAGAAGAGGTTCCTTGAAGTATATTGGGCTTGACTAGATCAAACGAATCGACTCGATCCTTGAAAATATTAGAAGATTCATTCACTTAAATCGTAGTAAAAGAAAATATGACATCTTAACGATCAATATTTTAGAGGATGAGTATATTTATTAACGTGAATAATTACGTGAACATGATCTAAGACAAGTAATGATAAATTAATTTAATTTTCTTAGTTAAATTTTTGCTTCATCTTCTCGATCAAAGAAAATGCACATTCGCTGATTGTTACATAATACTAAGAAACAAGGAGGATGAATGAGGGATTATTTTGTTAGTTACCTGTTTCGAATTCACATTCATTACCGTTAACTGTTCCAAGCCCACATTTTTGGTGGAGCTACATTCTTTACTAAGCCCACATTCTCTAACTACTTCGTCTCAAACACAATACAATTCACAATATCCTTACCTAACATGCCTAACTTTAATCCAACCCATTACAATATGCAGCTCAATTGCAATCAGGTCCACTATCCGTGTCCAATCGTGTATTGGTTTTCCCAATTATTATAGGCAATATCCTAATCTTATTGATTATATCATCTGATTCTTTTGCTTCTTCAAAGCAAAAACAACAGAGAGAAGGGGAAATGTTAGCATATATGATCAATGAAGATTTGGAGGTTAATAACAAGCTTAGTAAGCTGTTAGAGATGAGTTAAGATTGGGACGTTTATAACAATGATATAAATATAAAATTGAAATTATACTGATTGATCTCATTTAATATTGCATTAAGGCTCAGCATGCATGTATTCGGTCACGTTATTGTAAAGCAATGCGCTTTACCTCTTTTAGCATTTTCTACTGGGATGCTGCGGTCTGGAAAACAGTAATAAGTTTTCAAATAAACAGCTTACATATAGTTTTCTCATCGCATTTCAACTTTCTGAGGATTTTATGACGGGAAATATGCCTCTATAAAACATAGTTTGAAATGTTCCAGATTTGAACAGCTCGTATTAAGTGCTAGGCTCAGCTTTCTATCTGTTTATGGCATCCAGGAAGCTATCAAAGTATTGGTACTAGGTTGAGATTGAACTGAGCCTCCCTGATTGATCCTTCCATGGACTTGTAACTCCCTCTGCATGATTCATTTAAAAAACTCGAGAATCAGTGTCATTGCACGAGTGATGCAGTAAATCACACTGCAATTTTGTAAGAGAAAGAGAGTTGATATACCCAATGGTCAAAGAAGGAAATTGGACCGTCGCTGGTGGTTGTACGGATGGGGGGGAGGAGGAGGAGGCAAGGTTTCGCAGTTCATGTTCAGTCGGCGTCTGCTCTTTTTCTTTCAGCTTCATCCATGGCAGAAATGTTAATCAAAGTCAAAGAATGAAACCAGAAACTTCATATATAGATAGTTGAAGAGTAGAAGGCATGTATTAAGCAATTTTTTTTTACCTTTTTTGCCAGCTTGTTGTTCTGGTCTTGCAATGACCTTTCCTGTCGCAAGATTCCATGTCAAAATATTTGTTTTTTTTTTCGTATTTACTTTTATTTTATTAAATATAATCCAAGTCATGGAAAAAAAACATCATATGATAAACTTACTCTCTTCTGCAACAATGAAATGGACTCGTGCATGAGTTTATTCTGCATGTCAGAGCAAATCATAGTTAAGTAGACGTAAAGCATTCAAATGACAAGAATTCGAAAATAAATTTTGAAAGAAATCATTGAACAAGCTCATTTTACCTTTCTAGTCCGTATGGGTTTCAGAGAATTGCCAATTTGTTGTTCCAAAAGTTGCAGGTCTCTCAGACTCAAGGTATCAAGCTCTTCTCCTCGGAACTGCCTGCATTGATTAATATAATATCTAATCTAACCTAGAAGCATGTAATATCTAAGGTAACTTAACAGGACTAGGGTAATGCTGTTTAGACTCGTGTATTGGAAGTTGAATACAAGTACATGTTTGACATGGGTGTAAATATCATAGGCATAATTCTTAAAAATGGTTTTAACATTTTATTAAATAGTTATTTTAGTCTTTTTTTTAGAGCATTTGGGCCTCTAATGTTCATTTTAAGAGGGGAAAACCCTTATTTTAGAGTGTTGACCGTTTGTTGATTAATGATTTCCATCAACAGAGAGCCTTTATGCCTCAAAATGAAACGTTATGGATCAAAATACTTTGAGAAAGAAAAAATAAAAATAAAAGTGACTATTCAATCAAATTAGAGATATTTTTTATCATTATGCCAATATCATAAATGCAAGCAACTTTCAAACATACGAAGTTACGTTTTGTACCTCAAGTTCCTTTGCAGAACTTCAATAGTTGACGTAATCTTGGAACATTCCAAAGACAAGTTTTCCTGAGCAGCATTTATAGAAAGGTTAAAGAGTTTAATGATTCCATTTTTCTTTAAAGAAAAAAAAAACTATAAATATTCAGCAAACATAAATGTCAAATACAAACTAAGTAGATTGTATACATGATTTACTCGGATGAATAAATTTCATGATTTGATGCAAGACTTACCTGTGATTCAGAACTTGATGAAGCTAGCTGTCTTTCGGCGTATGATTTTTGTTCATATCGTTCTAGGATTCTCTCCATGCTGTAATTACAACATAAGAAGTTAATCAAGGAAAATACCTACAGACATGAACATGAACAATGAAATGAACTACACAAATCACAAGGAAATTTACACAACCTCAAGAATATTTACTGCAAGGGATGATAGTACATATTACTCGTGTATCTAAGTTTGTTTAATGTTTATGACTCTGCGATTTTGTATTTTATTATTATTTAATATTTAAATTATTTAAACTCTTTTTTTTATAAGATCAGATGGATTGTGTTGTACTTTTAAACATGTTAGAACTCAGAAACAGAACTAAGATCAAATAAGATCAAATATTGGGAGGGTAAGGTACCTAAGTTTAAAATCATAGGAACTTATTACATGTTTAATCTAAAAAATTGGAAGGGATAAAAGTCTAATTTTACCAATTGATAAAAATCTAAAATGCTATTAAACCAAAATATTTGGGAGGGGTAACAGCTCCTCACACTCTTTATATACGTCTATCCATGTTAGAAATTATGTATTCATATATGCTACAACATAAATGATTTCAACCCAATTAAAATTTAATCAATTATTTTATTATTATTAGTAGTGGTAAAAAACAATATTTCTTAAAAGAAATATTTTTATATAGGAGTTTTTGCGGTCGGTTAATCGTATCGTTTAACTAAAACAGTTCGTTTAACTGTTATAAGGATTACTGAATTTTACTAACATGTAACCTAACAGTTAAGAAAATATATGTTGTTTAGGAATTTTTTTTCTATGATATCCATATCATTGTGAATCCTATTCGATTTTGGATAACCTTTTTGATCTTTATGTAATGAAGGATATGGTAATATTATAGGTCTAATGTCACCTTCATTTCATTTCTTTTCATTTCAATTGGGGGAACTCATGTTTGTATACCATGAAGATCCATGAAAGTTTGTATATGCCATCCATAAATCTTTTGAAATCAATATGGACGACATGCAGTCATGATGTTTGAGCATAGATACTTGACTCTTTAAAAGAACTTGCAATGACACATCAATCTTGTAGATATCTGGTATGAATAGGTCATGATACCTTTTAATGATTGTGCCATATCCGTAACATGGAAAATATGATTTCTACGTGAAAAAAATTAAACCAGCATAGAAATGTTGGCTTCTACGGTTTTTGCAAAATTTAGACTAAAAATGAGTTCGATAGACATCATAGTAACTACCTCGCTCCTTATGCTCACAAACAACATAGATAACTGATAACATGTTGTTTTCATGATAGTAATTATGGGCAAATGACGTGTGCCCTTAAAGATGAATTAATAGTCTCCACCAAATTATACTCATATGATCATCTGAGTACCCCTCATCATATGCCTAAGCTCACTTCTCTATACAGGTAACTATGTCATGATTTGAATGCAACAATTAACATCGAAAGAGATACCTTAGTAGTTGTTTTAACCCATTACAAGATGACAACACAAATAATATTATAATCTAGTTTATTATGATCTTGATAGATTCTGTCGGCACATCATGTATAAGAATCATAATGTCTTGTCATTTCTTAAATATTATTATTTATCTTCTTTAAGATAAGATTATCCAATCAAAACCCTAATTGTGTTTGACAAGCTCACAAACATGTTTAACTTTATTTATCCTTTTGACTCCATAATCAATTGAGTGACATTTTTTGTAATACTTAATTATTGTTATTGTGAGTTCTTTAGTTAAATACTCTATATCAACGCATAATTCTCTACAATTGTCAAAGAAACTAAATGGTTTGAATCCTAAGTTAGGTAATTCTAGAAATTTTGGTGTATTCATTGTGTTAATGTGACACATCTGAAATGAAGGTTCGTAGTAGGCTCTGCCAGCTCTTGCTAGCTCTCATTTCAGAATCCACTGTGTTGGTTGAGACTCCATCAAAATTGATTCAATGCATAAAATCATCTCAACAACATCAAAATTGATCTCCCTAAATGTTTTTTTCCCGAACATTAGTCTTAGCTTTAGATGTTCCTTCCTCGATAGAAACAAAAACATGTTTTTTTATTGAATAAACTCATCTTAACACCATCAAAACCTAGCTTCATAAGAGGTTCTTCTACAAACTCATTTTTATCTACTTTGTGCATGACATCAACCTTAGTTTCATATGTTCTTGCCTCGATTAAATAGTCTAAGGTTATAGATGTCATAAATGGCGATCTTACTCTAACATCGACATCAAACACACATACACAAGAATATTTCCTCACAACAGAATATGCCATCTCAACATATGGGTTATATACAAGGTTAATTATGTAATTATACCAGGTTTTTTATTATAAATAGAGATGTAACCTAAACTATGAACATTGAATAAAATTTCTAGCGCCGCCTAGGCACCGAGGACGTAAGCACATTGCCAAACCTTGTTAAAATTCTTGTGTTCTTTCGTTTACTTTTCCCGATCTTCAACAATATACTAGTGTTGTTGACCTACATAAGTTCATGTCGGAAGGGCTAACAGATGAATGTCTTTCAATTAAACTTGATTGGATCTTCGCATATAGGTTATACATCATTGTTGAGGATATGCCTTAGTTCAAATCAAAGACATTTACTAATGAGTGTATGCCCATATATGGCGGTTAAACCCCTCAATCTGAGTCTCCTAGTAATAATGTAAAATCATTATAAATTTATTGTGTTGATGCTTCATTTTATCTCTCAAAATGAAGTCTATATCAACTCATATCACTTGGATCAACACTAACAGACCCAACATACATGTTCACGTTAGTAATGAAATTACGTTGTGTGCGTCAATCATCATATCAACAATAATATCATCATTATTATGGTAAAATATAGCATATCATAGTGGAACCAATTAAGTATAGAATCTATATTTCAAAGAATTTTTTTATTTTGTCCAACTCGAGCATTTCTGCAAAAAATTTTCATGAACTTGTCAAACATTATGTTTCTCTTAAACGAGATGGCAACAGAATTTATGAGTTCAAAAATAAAGTAGGTCTCAATGTCACGAATCTAATCATCATAATAAATAATCATGGAAAATCTATTATCCATCTTTTACATTTTATGTTGTAAAAAAATAATCACATAATACCAACATATTATATACTTTAAAAAGTATAATAAACGAAAAGTTCTAACAATAAAACCTACTAAAATCAATAAATGAATACCGACACTAAATTAATACTTACTTTAATCTGATCGGTGTATAAAATTTCGATTACTTGTCTACTCTAATATTTACAAACTCTTTAATTTTTGAAATAAGAAACTACAGCAAACTACAGTTCAAAGAAAATATTTTTTGTAGTTTCTATTTTACTAAACATGTTTCCTATTTTATAAATATCAAATTCTTGAATATCAAACTCAAATCAAAGTTGTTGGACAAGATAAAACAAAACTTAAGTTACAAAGATTCTTTGAAAAATTAAAAACTCTTCTAGTTTTCAGAGTCTCATTTTGCACTTGTTACTGAAGGAATAACTATTCTACAATGTTATAAAAGCACGAGATCATTAAGATCACACATTTTAATTTATAATTTTAAACTAGAAAAGCTTGGTAAAAACGTAAACTTCATAATGTTATTTAAAAAAAAAACTTCAAAAAGTGTGCTCCATCAGCTACATCTTTCATTTTAACCAAAAAAAATATATTCTTGATTGACAATGGAATACTTTGTTTCCCAAGGAAACTTGTTCGATAAAGTCACGTTTGTCTTTTAAAGTTTATTTGCTAAACAAGTGAAAATTTTATGAATAATTTTTGTTCGAAAAGATATATTTGATCATCCATTTTATGTGATAAATTTTACAAGAATTAAAGAAACCTAATTAAAGGATACTTGTATCCCAGGTCCTACAAAGAATGTATGATGCCTATTTAAAAGATTGTTAGTGTCCAGTTTTGGCTAGAGCTCTTATTGTATTATTTGAAAGAGAACTTTATTGTTTTACACAAATCAATTTATTTAAGAAACTTTGTAAGTGTACTGCTGAGAGTTTTGAGTGTTGTGTTTACAACAAGTGTTCAGTAATTAGCGGGAATTACTTAAGGAAATAATAACTAGGATAATATTGCACAAGAGAATGCCTACAATTAGTATGTGTAATTAAATTAATGACTTGTGTCTTTTATACTTAAAACAATACAACGAAATTATCTTTAAACAAGACTATACAATATTGATCAATCTAAACTATCTAAACAAATTATCTTATTTATTTATTTACACTTTTAATTATTTTCAATATTTTTCTTAATTGCAATTGACCCATAACATTACCTGAGGACAACTACACTAACATAATATATGATTATATATATACATCAAATGTAAACTATGAAATGTATATATATGATTATATATATAAATCAAACATAAACTATGAAATAGTGTTATAATTAGACAACGACATTTAATTAAGTGGGTGATAAATAATGCCTATGGAAGTAGCTAATATCATTAGGAGGCAATCTCGTAGGTGAATCAAAAACAAATTCCAATATCCTAGGTAATTAAACATTAAAAGCAAAGACATGAAAAAGAAAATGAGAGAAATATGCAATAACACCCTGCCCTATATATGACACAAAGCTCTAAAAAGTTTTGCTAAGCTTAATTGACTCTTCAAACTTAAATTAATCTGGTTTTGAGAAATTTTGTGTTTGCTTAACCACCCGAAATTGTCCTTTGAATTAACTTAAAACAGAAACATTTTCCATAATCTTCCACTTAAACTATTTTTTGTTTACCTTCTATGAACATACCTCTTCTCGGAGAACACTTTATGAACAAACAAGTGTCAAATACAGCAAGTAGAAACCATAGAATTAAGAGGTACTGCCATTAGTTAATCTGCTTGAAATAAGTTTTTGGTTAGGGTACTGCCATTAAGTTGCATTATGTTAATCAAGCAAACTCGTCCCATAATCTGCAGTTCAAATAATTTCATGTTTAACTTCTATGTGAATGTTCAAACACTACATATCAAATATTAATTACCGAAAATAAAATTGAACTAAGACTAAACAAAGATTATCAGAGAGGTTAGATTACATATATATAATATATTTCACTTCTGATCTGACAAATCAATTATACAAAAACTTTCCTGGAATCCTCAAAAAAGGGGAGGAAACAATATTATGCTAAATGGAAAACGCGTCAGAGAGAAGAAAATGACATCTGAAATGTCTCATCAAAAGAAAACTCTATGTTTTTTTTTTTCATTTTCATGCTTTTTTTCGTTTTCCCTTAGCTTTTTATAGTAGTATTTATATGAGGAAGTGACGAGCCAATATGTCAGAAAGCTGAAGATTTTGGTGTAACGCAAAGCCATAAATAGTACGGTATAATGAACAAAGAGAGGGAAAATAACAAAGACCCAGAACTTAAAAACAGCATAAATGAAAATAAAAATATATGCGTGTGTGTGTATGAAAACATGCGGTATACAGTAAGCAAAACCAAGAGATGAAAAGAGTGAAATTAAATCAGTTGAAAGAAAGGAAGAAATATTTGTAAAAGAAAAAAAACCTGGAATGGGATGAGTACTCAAACAGTTTCCCTCTGTTAGAGAAAACAATCAAAGCAACCTCAGCATCACATAACACTGAGATCTCGTGAGCTTTCTTCACCAAACCAGTTCTTCTCTTTGAAAATGTTACTTGCCTGCTAATATTGTTCTCGATCCGCCTTAGCTGAACCCTACCTCTCCCCATTTCCCCCCCACCCTTTCAAAGGAAAAAAAAGAAGCTAATTTTCCCACCAAAGAAACAAATAGAAAACAAACTTCAAGAAACCCTAAAGATATGAATTCATATGCTTTTTTTCACCTTACAGGAGAAAGGAGAACATGAAACTAATACAAAAATGGCTATTCTAAAGTATAAGATTCTATTTATTGATGTCGTACTATGAAGCAAAAGGCTTCGGTTTTCTTGAAGTAGATAGTAACAACAACAATAATTATTATTATTAAAAATAGGTTTTCTATTTCATGTATCATTGGTATACAAATTTATATCTAATTTTAAAAAAATTAATAAAATGTAAATAAGTTTCTGTGTGTGGGTACATATACATAAAATGTATTTAGAATTATTATTTACTTTAAATATAGGAGGGGAGAAATAAAGGAGGTAGTACCGGGTTGTTGAAAGATGGTTGGTTAAAAGGATGAAACGGTCGATAGTGTGAAGCTATGAGCCACAGGTTTTAGGACTACCGAGCTCGAAGCGACAGCGTCCGTATCACCAGTGTAATGTGATTTATCGTATGTGGCCTTTCTTTTTTGGTGACGGCGCTAATTGGCTTTAATTTTTGGGGGAATTGCAGATGAATCCGGTTGTACTCCGAGTTATTGTTTTTAGAATTACATCCAGAGTTTTAAACCCCCAAAAAAATATTTTTTTTAAAATAAATTCTAATTCATTTAATAAAACTGTACCATATACAAATAAATTCAATTATTGTATTGAAAGAAAATACAATCAATATTAACAAATAAGAATATATTAATATTATTTTTATCATAATTTAAGTACGACATATCTTAGATAACTACAAATATTTATCAAGGTGAAAAAACTAATTTGATAGTCTAATAAAGAAATATATTAATAAGATATTCAAATAACTAATGATAGTAGAAGTAACGATAAATCTAATCATAAAAAAGAAAACAATTATGAGAGCAACATGTTATAATAACAAACCAAAACATCTATCATTTTTGCCATATCCCTGCGAAAGATCCTCTACACATGTCATCCTCGCATCTCACAGCCATCCGAGGATCTCATAACACCTTTGAACTTTCGACATTCCAGAACTCCAGAAAAGATAAACGGACATCTCCGGAAAAAGGTTGCAAAGAGCTAAACCTCTTAAACCGTGATTAATATATGTGACTTTTGATAGATACACGTGATTTATCAAAATTAAATCTATCGTCTCTTGATCATATCTACTTGGTGCGACTCTCCGCCTAAACCCATAAGAGTGAATAGTCATCATAATCCATTTGGTCTGATCAACAAATGACACAGAGAAAGTAGAACACCTCATATCAAAAAATAACATTTCAGATTTCACTCCTGAAGGTAAAATAGCCAACATCATCTCCTAACTTCCACCTAAAGTCCTTTTCGACATAATTGGTTATTTCTCATTGGCGCCCGCAGATTTAAACTACAAAATATGCATGCACGAACAAACCATTTTCGAAGAAAGAAGGGAATGATCACACGTGCACTACCCACCCAGATCTCTCTTCCTACGAACGTTGGAAAATCGGCATGACACTACCAATACCATGACCTATTAAACCTATCCACTGATAGGAGACAAGTACCATCACCTTGAAGGTTCGCCACGACGAACACCAAAAATGGCCCCAAGAGAAGACCATGAGGATAAGAAAGGGAGCTTCCTGAAACATGCCAGGAGACTCGCCTAATGATCAAATAGAACGAGATCTAATCACATCCTCCAACATACAACATCTGAAGTAGCTTCCGAAAGAAGGTAAATTATCCAAATAATTTTATCACTTATCATTGTATGATATTCTTCCTTAACAGCTTCAGAGGTAGTCTAAAATGAAGGGTGCCTTATCTCGGAAAGTGACATTAAGCTCATAACGTCAAAAAACGCTCATTGACCGCTCCTTTAAACTCAAAAAGTCACAAAAATAAATAATCATCATGTGTTCAATAAAAAATAAGGATATCCTCTCCATTAATTCTACGGACTAGAAACTAGTTTAGACAAAAAATTACTAGTTAGATCTTGGCCAAAACATTAAACTTATACAAAGCTAAGACCAAAATTACTTCTCTCGCTACAGCAAAACTGTTCTACAACGATGTTTTTGAGAGTAAACGCCACTAACTTTAAACATATAGTGGCGTTTGTATTCCAAACGCCACAAAATGGTAACTTTAACGGTGTTTTGTATAAAAATGCTGCTACAGAGTAGTACTTTAGCGACGTTTTTATACAAAACGTCGCTATAGAGTAGTACTTTAGTGGTATTTTATACAAACGCCACAATAGGTTCATCCATTGTGGTATTTTTTCAACAAACGCCTTGACAGAATAGTACTTTAGTGGCATTTGTATAAAAATATCATAATAGGGTTCATCTATAGTGACATTTTTTCAACAAATATTGTAACAAAGATTTACTTTAACGGCGTTTTTATACAAACGTTGCAATAGGGTTAATTAATAGTGGCATTTTTCAAGAACGTCGCGATAGAGTTGGTATATTTGTGGCGTTTGGGTTTATAAATGCCGTAATGTATGGTGATTTTGGGGGTTTGGCCTTTATGCTATTTGCAGTTTACAAGTTACTGTGCCTTTCCGTTCGTCATTGTTGTCATTTCTTCAGAAGAAATCCATTCATTCACTGAAGTTATTGTTGTGTTGCTAGTGCCTTTGATTGCCAAAAATATGTGTTCAGTTAGAACTCTAAAGTCTAGCCTGCTCTTGCAACAAAGGTTGAGTTTCAGTGATCATCAAGTTGTTTCTTTTTCCCTGCCTCCTTTTGGTTTTGGCAGGCAATTGTATTTTGCAATTCTAGAATTATTCCTTGGCATCTAAGCCATGCAAGTGCCCCGTGTGTGCTTGCAAGATTGTTAATTTGATGTCAGGAGCATCATTGCAACAACAGCAACAGAGTCAGGAAGTTACTGAGGTTCTTAAAAGTGTACAGAACAGAGGTATAACCTCCTCTTTCTTGGAGGTGCGCGTGGATTCATTCAGGTATGTGTGCTATTATATCCACCTATAAACTCTACACGCTAGTAAACTTAGATGCTAAGTGTTTTTTTTTTTCTTTCTTGCTTGTCTTTTCTTTCCTTTGACACATAAAACTTTAAAATTACTGGCTTTCCTTTTCATTTTTTTTGTTAGTATTACAGTATTTTCTTTCCCTTTACTAAGATTATTAGCTATGAGTTTCTTATGGATGCAACTACATGCTTTTTGCAGTTATGTGGAGGTAAACCTTCAGAAGGGGTTTTGTTGGTGCATTTTTGTCTATGTCTTCTACACAGTGGTAAATCTCTATGAACTGCGTTGTTGACTGAGAACTTGGATGCTAAATCCTTTTACTATTTAACAGTTCATATATATCTTTAGCTGGTAGGGTAGTATCTTTCTCAATTTTGATTGAGAAAAGTGCTTGTTCAAGGAATTAATTATGCAAAATTTGGTGTTCCATATACTAGTTTCTTTTCATGCTTGTCATGACTGGTTTGTTTATGATTCCAGGTTTTGAAATTCTTAATGGAAATGAATAGTTTAATTGCCCTTCATGGTTTGTTTATGCTTTTGGGTTCAAGTTACAAACTTTTTTTGTTTTATATTATACAACAAGGTTTTGTTAATTTTTTTCGTTCTGGGTTCAAGTTAAAAACTTCTTTTGTTTTATTTTCCATTTTCACTGACTCTTGTTATTGTTTTTAATGAAATGAACTGAGTTGATTCTTCTATAAGTTTACTATTTGATGAAAAAAAGTTGAAACATTGCTTCGAAAAGGGAAAAAAGCTACTCTCTTTTGGGAAGACTCATTATTTATAATAGTTGCTCATTGTTCATACTGTCTAGGCCATTGCTTTTGGTTACTGCAAAATAACACCTGCCATTACCAGCTCTTTAAATAATGCCAACAGACCCAAAGTTTAAACTCACCAATAAAATAATATTATATTAGCATTAATAGAAGTTCAAGGATTAAGATAGCGATGATCAATAATTTACAGCTTTAATGAAGAGCAACCCAATCAAACCTGCCTATGCCAACCTTTTGCAAATAGCGGCGTTTGTGGTAAAAATACAACTACAAATCATAAATATACCGGCGTTTTGTTATAAAAACGCCACTAAAAACAATAGAATTAGTGGCGTTTGTGGCAAAAAAAATCACTAAGACAGGATAATTAGCGGCGTTTGTGAATAAAAATGCCTTTATAAATCACAACATATAGCAGTGTTTGAAAGAACAAATGTCGCTATATAACTCGACCTTTTGCGGGGTTTTAGGTTCACAAATGCCGCTACCATTTGCGGCATTCGTTTAACGGAGCTCTTCCTAGCGTCGGTAGTGTTTTGTTGTAGTGTCTAATATATTTATAAAATAAATAATATTGATTTATCAATATAAGAGTATCTTAATTTTAAAATATTTTGTAACATAAATTATAAAATATATTTATATTTATATTATATATTAATATAAGAATATATTTGTCAAATATATTATACGTTATTAACTTGACTTGATGATTAAGCTTTAGTTTTTCATCTTAAAGATCCATGTTCAAAGCCACCTCTTGCATTTTTTATTTTCTAAGAGATGATGTCTCATCTTATTGAAAAAAATTAATTTAATAAATATTTAAATAATATTAATTTAATAAATAAAAATTATAATATGTTTTATTGATGTATCATATTATATCATTACTTTGGACATGTGATATGTTATCACTTTACACACATAAAATTTACCACATCAATGACAAATATTGATTGTTAGTCAACTAATAATTTTAATCCCATCAAAGGTCATTTTGACTCAAAATGAAATATTATGGCTTAAAATATTTTTAAAAATAATTAAAGATGAAATTACTATTCAGTCAAATACATTAGGGGTGAATATTGACATTATCCCTTATGTATGAAAGGGTTTACAATTTTTTTATTTTGCTAAAAACTATGTCTTAGTTTAATGAAACCACAATTAAATCAAAACAACAGAAAAAAATATCTAAAATTATTATTCTTAACAGTGAGGTTCAT